CCCCACCCCCATTTTAGCACCCCCAAGCTGCAGTGAAGCCAGGACCCATCACTTACATCTTCACTCGAGACAGTGATGACCTGTCCAGGGGGACCAGGTGGACCAGGGGGGCCAGGCAGCCCCACACCATCTTGGCCTCGATCGCCCTGGAAGACACAAGCCATCAGCCCCAGGGCGGACCGGTCCCTGTCCCCAGCCCAGCGGCACCTACCTTCTCACCAGGGCTGCCTCTGTCACCTTTGGGTCCCTGGAAGGAGGAGCAGGCAGGGGTGAGCTTCCCATTTGGCACCACAGACAGCTGGACCCTGGCTCACAGGTGAAGACCCTCTCCTGCCTGCAGCTCAGTAAAACTTTTCAGGCCACCCTCCCTGCCGTAAGGCCCAGGCAGTGAGCCAGGGTGGGACACTTTTGGGCGGAGCTGATGGCGAGCAGAGTGGCAAGCTGATACATATGGGGTCCCAAGCAGCGTAGGCACCCCCGGCACATGGTGAGCCTGGTCCCAGAGCAGAGGAACAGCCGAAGGCACGGGGGGGTGGATTTTGGCTTCTGGGATGGATTTTGGCTGGTGGGGACGGAGCTGCTGCAAGTGGCCCTGCAGCATGCAAGGGTGCCCTGCCTGGAGGGAGGGGGTGCTTCTGGAAAGGGGGGACCAATGCTCCTACCTGCGGTCCGGGGAAGCCCTCCAGTCCAGGGCGGCCGTCCACACCGGGCACACCAGCATCTCCCTGCAACAAGGTGCGGGAAAGGGTGAGATGCAGTACAGAGCATCCTCCCAACAGCCCCAGGTTGGGGAGCACAGGGGTCCTCCCCAGCAGCCCACCAACCCCAGAGGCTCACACACAGCCCGCCCTGACCTCTCAGTGCTCCTACCTTTGGTCCTGGCAAGCCGGGCTGCCCAGGGCTGCCGACCTCCCCCTGCAAGGAAAGAGTTGTCAGAGCAGGAGCATCCCCACGAGCTGCCTGTGGCCATACTGCAAGGATGGAGCCAGGCTCCTGCAGCTGGCTGCATTAAAGGGCAAGGAAGGCATTTGAAGGTCTCCTCACCTTCACTCCTGGCAGTCCCGGCACCCCCTGCAAGCAACAAGAAGGGGGCTATGAGTGTGGGGTAATGGCAGGGGACACAATGGCAGAGGATGCCCTGGGAAGCCCAGGATGGAGGGGAGGGAAGGAGCAAGAGCAGAGTTACCTGTGGTCCTTCAGGTCCGGGTGAGCCAGGGGAGCTGGCGGCGAATGGCAGCCCTGAGCCCTCCATGTCACCCTAGGCAGGAGGAGAGAAGGGGCTGAGCTGCATCTGTCCCCCAGTCCAGTTTATCCCACCCCCCCATCACAGGGGTGATCACTTACAAATCCAGCCTCGTAGCCTGGCCCTGGTGGTCCCGGGAGACCAGGGGGCCCTGGCTGCCCTCGGGGTCCAATGGGCCCAGGAAGGCCAGCTAACCCCATTTCTCCTGGGGCTCCTGCTGGTCCCATTTCTCCCTTGCTGCCCTGCAAAGGAGAGAAGAAAAAAAAGGGGACAGATGGGATGAGGTGGCAATGGTCCCTGCCTGGAGCCTGCAAGTGGGAAGCAGCCCATCCCCTCCCACATCCCCAAACCGCCCCCTGGGACAGGGCATGGATGCTTCCCTGTCTCCAGGGCAGAGGGGCTTTGTGGGACAGGGCATCGCCCAGCTCCAGCTTTCCTCGTCCTGGCTGTCCTCGCATGGCCCTGGCTCCCTGTGCGATGTGCACAGTGGCCACCAGAGGCTCGTCTAAAATCATAAATGGGATTTTTTTTTTTTTTTTTGCATGCATTGCCAGCTTCGATGCAGCGGCAGAACTCAGCACCGAGGGGAGATGCTCACAGGCACCCTTGCACTTTGCTATGGGTCTCCAAGTGGCAGGATCAGTCCTTACACCCACTGCCACCCCATCTACCCTCTCAGTATCGGCAGCGTTAATAAACCTTAACTCTTGAGGCTCTTGCCCCCAGCTCAGGCTGCGATGGATGGGTCATCCTAAGAGGCATCCTGGCCCCTGAGGGAGGGGAGGGTGATCATGCGCATCCCAGCAAGCCTTCGCTTCCACCCTTGGGAATGTGGGGCAGAAAGAAGCTTGTGCAGGCAGGCAGAAGAGTAATGCGCAGAAGATGAGGTGTTTCCCAGGGGGGTGCGGGCACCCAAAACCCCCCCAGCAAACCCTCTTCCGTGCCTTGAAACACCTGCTTTGCCTTGCCTGCTCACTTCTGGAGGCAGCAGTACCTGGACCAAAGCCAAGCAAGGGTGGTGGGAGCATCCCGGGGGTGGGCGGCGGCTCCACACACACTCGAGCCACAGTACTGCTCTGCTCTGGGAGGAACCCAAATGCCAGCATCCCCCTCCCCGCTTTGGCACGAGGTGGCCCCCTGAGCAGCATCCCTGCCTCCAGTCTGCAATGACCCCCTGCAGAGAAACCTGCTCCAGGCACAGTACCTTGGGTCCCGGTGCACCGGGGAGGCCGAGGTCACCCACATCACCCTGGGGAGGAGGAGGAAGGAGAAGTGGGTGTGAAGAAGCTGCCTTGCTCCAAGAGCAGGTTGATGCTCTCCAGTCTGGGGATGGAGGAAGCTGGGACCTCCCAGAGATGTGCCAGGGGACCGAGCATCAGCTGCTGTGGCCCCCCGGGGTGCCAGCTGCCCCACGGGGGAGCCATGATGTGCTCCCAGGGGACATAGGACAGGGGACACTCACCCGCTCTCCTTTCGGCCCCGGCTGCCCAGCCGCCCCGTCTCTTCCAGGAGGACCCTGAGGACCCTGCAAGATGCCCAGGAGCTGGCTCCAGCGCAGGGAAACCCTGTGGGGCTGGTGGGCACGGAGCCCCTCACCACCACAGGAGGCAGTTACGGCCCCACCACCACGGGGTGGCCCTGGGTTGTGTCCCCTTGGCCACCCCATACACTTACCACTGGTCCCGGGGGCCCAGGGGTCCCATCCCTGCCCGGCAGCCCTGGAGGTCCTGGCAGGTCTGTGCGGTTCATCCCAAACCGTCCTGGTTCCCCTGGCAAACCAGGCACACCGGGTGGCCCTGGAGGACCGGGTGGCCCTCGGGGACCCTACAAGAGAAGGAGAGGATGATGGCTGAGCATGTCCCCCCACTCCCTGCTGGCAGGAGGGGACCTGCACTCACCCGCAGGCTCTCCAGGTCGCCGCCGAAACCAGAGCCCTCCATGTCGATGAAGGTCTGGGGGAGAAGCAGAAGGGTGATGTCAGACACCGACAGCCAGGGCTGGGGTGCTCAGCGGCGCAGGGATGCTGCCTGGGGCCTGGTGGCAGCATCCCACTCCTCCATGCCTCCCCCATGCCTCCCCCCTCCAAACCCATGTCCCAGGGGGCACCTACCAGTTTGTCATGCTTGGAGGAGGGTCCTGGTGGTCCTGGGGGACCAGGTGGTCCAGGGGGTCCCCTTGGCCCCACGCCTGGGTCACCCTGGCACAGAGGAGAGAGCGTGGTTTGCAAGCGTAGCCCAGCCGCTGGTGAGAGGACGGGGGGGCAGCAGCGTGTGCTATCCCCCCACACCAGCACTGGCACTCACCTTCTCCCCCTTCAGACCGGGCTCCCCTGGCATCCCGGGGAACCCCTGTGGTCCCATATCACCCTGCGAAGGGGAGCAGTGGGGGGTCAGCAGGCAGCGAGGCAAGGGGGTGGCTGGCACCCATTGCCCTGCCACATCCCCCCCCCCCCCCCCCTTACTTACAGGTTTGCCATCCTCGCCGGGATCACCCTAGGGATGGCAGAGAGGGGAGAGGTCAGTGTGCAGGCAGGCAGGCAGGCAGGCAAGCAGGCAGGGGTGGGGGAGAGGGGATACCCAAGGGGTGGGGGGCTTGACTCCCAGGCTCGCCGTCCCTGCCAGGGGCTCCGTCCTTCCCCGGCAGCCCTGGGGGACCGGTGACTTGCTCCACCACCAAGCCGTCGGTGTGATGTGAGAGGGTCCCGGGGGGGCCAGGATCGCCCGGCTCCCCTTTCTGGCCCTTGGAGCCCGGGTAGCCAAATCCAGCACTGCCCTGGGGAGCGGACAGAAATGGGGATGGGTGGCACATCCCCAGGGGTGGCAGCCCAGGCAGGCATGGCTTTGCCCCAGCTCCCCCTGAGATGCTCACCTTAACGCCCAGTTCTCCTTTCTCCCCCTGAGGGACAGAAACAAAGAGAAGCAGGTGTCAAACATGGTCAGGTCAGTGGCATCCTCGAGCCCCTGGGATCCCCCCTCTCACCCACCTTTTCACCCTTGACACTGCCTGTACCCATGATGCTGCCGGTCCCTGAGTCCCCTTTCAGGCCACGCTCACCCTTCTCCCCCTTTTCGCCTTTGGGGCCGGTGCCTGTGGAAAGGGAAAAGGGACCCGGTCATGCTCGGGGACAATCACCCCGCCACATCCCCACTGGTGTGCCCCACGGCCAGCTGGCATGGCGGGGGAGGGGGAGGTG